TACAGGGTTCATAGTTCAAAAGTAAGAATGAATTCCCTGACTTTTCCAGGTTTTCCCTGACTTTCAAAATAAAATCCAGGTCACTTGTAGTTCATTTTTACATACTAATTGGTGTTTATGCATTAAATTTTTTCTCAACTGGAGCCCATAATCTTTTTATACCATAAGAACCTCTTATAAAGGTTTCAAAACCACAAATAGTTTTCTCTTTCAAGAACCCAGGACCGGCTTTCACAAAATTTCCAGTTGCAAACATCAAATTCCCTGACTTTCATGAATATTTTTAAAATTCCCTGACTATTCCCTGTTTTTTATGAAGAATAACGAATTCCCTGACTTTTCCCGGTATTCCCGGTTTTCCCGGCCGCTACGAACCCTGATATATATGCACATCCAAATGTAATATGTAGGTATGTATAATGGACCAATCTCTTTGTTAATAAACAATTAAAAATAACGTTTTTTAATTTAATACTGTTTATATTATACATATTTGCTTAATTCGAATTTTCCAGTACTCTTAGGTTTTTAATCGTGCCGGATCAATGAGAATGTACTGTAATTGTATTCAGTGTCACAAAAAAAAACGGAAGGTACTTTTTTAGTTATCTCTTGGAAAATGTTATTTTTGTCTTTGTAGCATGAAAGACAGAGGGTAACTGAAAAAATTATTGCCATTGAAAAAGTAAAGAACATGGTTTAAGAAAAATTTAAAAAAAAACTGATGTTTATCTTCACATGTAAATAAATATTTCTAAACACTAAAGATGGTTACTTTAAAATCAATGAGTTGTGAACTAAAAAAATAAACTATTTCTGTGTTCAATATTATACTACATTTACTAGACAAAAAAAAAAAAAAAGAAAAATGACAAGTCAACTTCAAGCTGCTATATCTTCGTAAAGGAGCTGGAATTGACCTCTGGTACATTAGAACTCTTTGTGTTAACTTTCATTAAGGAAAACCTTGTAGAAGTTCTGAATTGGAAGTAATTGACACCCAACTTTAAAAAATATAATACCATACAATATAAAGATCTTTTGCTTATTTGTGTTCATGCTATCGAACGTATGCTATATTAAAGAAATTAAAGAAGCCTTGTCTCTTAAATTTATTTGGTAATTTCCAGCAGTTAAACAATTAAATTGATAGTTTAAGAAAAATTAATTCTAAAATAATTACGAAGAATTTGTACCTAGTTATAAAAGTTAGGTTTAAATATATGAATGTAAAAATATGAAAAAGTATGTTTAAAAAAAAATCATGTATTATTAGGTTAAATATCAAATGGTATAATAATGTAAACATTTCTAAACATCCTTATTGCAAATTTAAGGTTTCACAGTATATATTTTAAATTTAATTTACTCAACTTTCGACTTTTTAATAATCTGACAATCCATCTCTTCAAAAACTTATGTTCAATTTTCAAAGGTGAAAAAGTGGTTAATTACAAAAAAATGTTATGCTGCACATTCAGAAAAAAATAAATTCTTGTAATTCGCAAAAGTTATTAACATATATTTTACCTGTATACTCTATCTCTATCTTCCCGATCTTCCCTGTCTCTGCGCCTTTCTCTGTCACGATCACCATCTCTGTAAGAAATTTTTCTGCTTCTGCTTGGACTCCTACACACATAAATATTTTTTATATTACATAATTACGGGATAACAAAATTTTAAAACATTATTAAACAATATATATATATGGTTTCAATTTATTTAAGGAATTTAGAAATGCAATAATGCCCTGCATTCTGTCAAATAAGTTACCGGAATTTGTAATTTAAAAATTCCGTGTAAAGTAGATTTAAATTTCCTTTTTGATACTGGTAGCAATGTTCTCTACTCGCGAAGTTTGAGTTTGAGCACGATCTGTTAAGTAGTTTGTTTACAGCTCTTAATTTTGTTAGTCAACCCAACGTGTGTTATTGAGTTTTATTGAAAACTCAAGTGAACTGGAAGAAAACATCCATAAAGTGAAGAAAATGGTAGTTGCAAACCATCATTATAGTTTGAGAGAGCTGGCATATGAACTAAACTATCTCACAAATAAGTTCGTTCCAATAGTAGTCATTGTTTTGGGTATGAAATGCATTGCAAAAGGGCTGGTTGCAAAAGAGATGAATTTTCTTCAAAAAGAGCATCGCGAACATGTTGCTGAAGACATGCTTGATCAAGGCGATCAAGCTAGTTTGGACTTTACATTAATACAAAGCATCATAACGGGTGATGAGACATCGGTTTATAAGTTTGACATGCAAACAAGCTTTGGAATAGCGCTTTTCTAATGAGCCGAAATAAAAAAAACCATGTCAGTCGATTAAAAATCAGTCAAGTTGACCGTTTTCTTTGACTATCGTGGTGTAGTCCACACAATTCTTGGATTTTGCATCACACAAAGCGTTAATTGTGAATGAATATTTGACCAAAAATGCAACGAATGTCATCCAGCAGGCACCGTATTCGTCAGACATGGCAATTGTTGACTTTTTCCTCTTTTCCAAACTCAAACTACAGCTTCATGGAACACGTTTCAAGTCGATAAAGGCCATAAAACTAAAATCTCTGTAGAAGTAGAAGTCCATACGGAATATTAATTAAAAAGTCCTTTGACGACTGGGTTATTTGTTGGAAAAGTGTACTGCTTCAAATGAAGCTTATTTTGAAGGAGACAAAATAAATTTTGATTACACAGGCACACAAAAAATAATGTCAAGACCCAGAGGGTAGACCCCTCTAGCCCTCCATTTTCGGGGTCGCTGAAACCGAATGACCATTAAAAAAAAAATTTAACTAGCCACTTTCGCGTTACCATAGACCACCTTCTGCGAGTTGAAATGTCAATTCTCATACAAAGTCAGGTAGGGTGTGTATTCCTGTTTTCTGGGCCACTAAGAACGAAAAAGACTACTAAAAATGAATTAGACCCCCTCGTCACCACCTAGCTTCTCTTTACCACCCCCATACACCTCTTTCTGCGAGTTGAAATATCAATTCTCATATAAAGTCGAGTAGGGTGAGTATTCCTTTGTTTTCTGGGCCACTAAGAACGAACAAATCTACCAAAAATTAATAAGGCCCCCTTGTTACCCCCTAGCGTCACTTTACCACCCCCATACACCTCTTTATGGAGGTTGAAGTGTCAATTTTCATACAGTCAATTTTTGGAACAAGACAATCTTTCTTAATCTAAGACAGTCGCCAACATTATACCTTAGCATAGATATTGACAAAACAAAATATTTCTTGAAATTACTTAAACAAAAAAGTATACTAAAAGGTGAAATGCACCACTTAACGTAACGTTTAAAAAAAATGTGTTTTTTTAAGGTTAATAACTTGTTAAGGAAGCAAGATTATACTAAATCGAATTCAAGCCTTTGATTTTTAAGGTAGCGATGAACCTGGCAATGATCGCCGGCGATTTTTGAAAGAATCTAATACATGGATTTTAATGGAAGGGTTTTTAAGATAACTGGCTCTTAACATTCTGTATTGTATGTAAAATTGTTGTTCTCATGTAAAACTGATCCAGTTTGTCTCACATTCTGTATACAATAAGTCGCATCTATTTTCTTTAACACTTGATCATCACAAATGTTACACTAATAAATTAAACTGGTAACAACTAAATATATTGATGCAATGGAAATTCCTACCAATTCATAAGAGCCCTGTGATCATATACATGTACATATTTATCTCAATCTCACATATCAATTCATGTAAACAACAGCTAATATAATGTCCTCCTAATTTTCTACCTCCATTCTGTAAAATGTACTCTTAATGCCGAATTTGGTGACCTATGGAGCATGTTTGGCACTTCTCTAAACATTTACTTATGTGCCGAGTTCTATCAAAAAAAAAAAAATCACATCGTTGATACATTGACTAATTGTGATTATGTGCCGAAATCATATTACAAAATACATCATGCAATTATAAAAATAAGGCCTATTTCACAATAGATTTTAATTACTCATTTAATTTTTGTGGGTATCTTAATAGTGACATCATTATCATTGATATAAGCAAAATAGAAAATTTACCTTGAATAACTTTTACCCTTGTGATTTCTTGGTGAATCTTCCCGCCTCGCGTGTGGTGAGTGGTCATTCTTTGTTTTATGGCCAGGAGATCGACTTCCCTAATAGCGAGAAAATGTTTCATCAATACAATTAAAAAGTCAATCTATTTAAAGACTATAATGCTATACTTTATACTTAAATCGATGATAAATTTTTACCGACGCCAGACACGCGTTAGTACGCTGCGCCGGTGGATTCGAATTTTATAATTACAAATAAGAATGTAAAAGTAAATTTATATACATCAAAACTATTAAAACACTTACCTCACGATCACTCATTGTAGTTTATTATAAATATTGGAGACAAAAATCAGAAAAACTTAAACTTTAGGACTAAAAAGTAACGTCGCCGTAATACAACACGAAATGGCTGCGATATCAAAAACGTGAAATAAGACGCCACAGGGACGCCACCAATAAATGTCTACAAGTACTATTCGATTTGGCGCTGTAATCAATGTCGACGTTGCCGGTTGTCCTTTATTACTTTATTACCTAAGACTACTAGAATCTTTAGTTCTTTTTTAACTCCATTTTTTATTGTTTCATTACATAATGTTTTATATGTATAGAATTATATATTTTAATACAAATTATATCAATATGCTCCCTCTATTTTATAAATTTAATTCTTATTTACCAAATTCTTCATAAATATCTTCTTTTATTTATGGCCTCCACCTTTCGGTACTTGACCAGCGCAGGATTCTTCATAAATATCAAAGTTAAATCAATGGGGTGCAAAAAAGTATTTGGTTATATTACCTAAGATCTTAGTTAATTGACCCATCAGCACCAAGAAAAACTGAAATTTGAAATAAAAAATTGGTATGAAAATAGCATGGTGTGTTCGTCAGCAGGCCCAATTTTATCATGTCTGCGCGTGACGTCACTTGAGACCGGCTCAAATGCCAAATTTGCACTATATTATCTCATCACGGTATATATTATATATCTAAAAACAATTTAAGTGTGCGTAAATTGTGTAAATTCAACATGTCGCGCCATTATTCCATGGCTAGAAATTGGCCTCAATGATTTGGGATGGAGGGGGATTATCCCTCTTTATCCTGCCTCATCTTGTGTAGGCCTGGACAGCCCTTCGTAGGTGAGCCCCATCCGACGTCTACTCCGACCGCAAATGTGGCCGGTGTAGGCGCTTTGTGGGACCTCCTTTTGTCCTGGCTGGGCCCCGCCGGTTAGGCCCCTTTCTTCTGGCGCTCTTCTTGCTTCGCCGGCTCGTCTGTGTAAACCCCGGGGGCGAACTAAGACTGACAATACGCAGACTTAAAAACAGAAAAGAACGACTACCACACAAGGGCCTCATGGCCCTACTAAACATAACAAACGCGACACTCAGACTAAGACACTTCCCTACCCGCTGGAAAACAGCAAACATAATCCTTATCCCAAAACCCAACAAAGATCACACCATCCCATCCAACTACCGGCCCATTAGCCTGCTCCCGGCTATGAGCAAAGTGGTAGAAAAAATTATCCTAACCCGTCTAAGAACCCACTCCCAAGAACTGCAAGTCATTCCAGACGAGCAGTTCGCCTTCCGACCCAATCACTCCACTGAACTCCAAATCCTTCGCCTTACCGAGCACATCACGGCGGCCTTCAACAGGGGACAGTACACTGGTGCTGTCTTCCTGGACGTCGCAAAGGCCTTCGATACGGTTTGGCATGAAGGCCGACTGATGAAAATGCTCACCAACCAATATCCCATATCCTTTACCAAACTCATAAAATCGTACCTACACCACCGAAAATTCCGCATCCAAATCCCAGATTCCCTTTCCACCACACTCCCATGGAGGCCGGTGTCCCCCAGGGCACCGTCCTGTCCCCACACCTATGCACCATTTACAATTTCGACATCCCACATCCCCCCAACACCAACATATACTTATACGCCGACGACCTGACAATCATATCCCAATCCGTAGATCCTAGATATTCCGTCTCCCTTATCCAAAACTCCTTAGACCAACTTGAAACCTGGTGCAACGGGTAGAAAGTCAAAATTAATCCCAACAAAAGTTCGGCTATCCTTTTTACCAAACGAAAATCCCACAAAACCTCGACAGACTGACACTATCCCAGGAACCCATCTCCTGGAATCGACAAACACGATACCTGGGCGTAACGATGGACCAGCGTCTCACGTGGAAACCGCACATCGTGGAGACGGTGGCGCGAGCGAAGACCACCAAGGCTAGGCTCTATCCCTTACTTAAAGGTGGAAACACCCTCAGCTTAAGGAATAAGCGAACGCTTATCAAGGTGGTACTTCAACCGCAGCTAACGTACGCCTCCACGGCGTGGGGTCATGCGGCAAAAAAACACAAAACTTTAGAGAAACAGTTTGGAGTCACGCACGCACGCACGCACCCACGCACGCCCTCATGCACCCACGCACACGCACACTCACCCACACACCCACCCACGCACACGCGCACGCAGATGTCGTTGGGGTGGTCACCCAGGGTTAAAAAAGTTGGTGTCTAGGTCTTTTGTGTTTGTCGGTCACGTCGGGTACGTAGTCAACGGCTTGCCTGAGGAGGGGATTGTCATGTCTAGCGGCTACGTCAAATCGTTTCTCCGCGTTTTGTCTTATTGTCTGTGTAGCGTTTGTGTATTGTAAGTCTCGTAATATGTCAGTGTTTCTTACGTACCAGGGCGCGTCGGTGGCCGTGCGGAGGGCTATGTTTTCCACAGCCTGTAATGACTTTAAGTGGCTTTTTGCCGCGTGACCCCACGCCGTGGAGGCGTAGGTTAGCTGCGGTTGAAGTACCACCTTGATAAGCGTTCGCTTATTCCTTAAACTGAGGGTGTTTCCACCTTTGAGTAAGGGATAGAGCCTAGCCCTGGTGGTCTTCGCTCGCGCCACCGTCTCCACGATGTGCGGTTTCCACGTGAGACGCTGGTCCATCGTCACGCCCAGGTATCGTGTTTGTCGATTCCAGGAGATGGGTTCCTGGGATAGTGTCAGTCTGTCAAGGTTTTGTGGGATTTTTCGTTTGGTAAAAAGGATAGCCGAACTTTTGTTGGGATTAATTTTGACTTTCCACCTGTTGCACCAGGTTTCAAGTTGGTCTAAGGAGCTTTGGAGGAGGTAGACGGAATATCTAGGATCTACGGATTGGGATGTGATTGTCAGGTCGTCGGCGTATAAGTATATGTTGGTGTTGGGGGGATGTGGGATGTCGGAGTTGTAAATGGTGTATAGGTGTGGGGACAGGACGGTGCCCTGGGGGACACCGGCCTCCATGGGACGGGTGGTGGAAAGGGAATCTTGGATTTGGATGCGGAATTTTCGGTGGTGTAGGTAGGATTTTATGAGTTTGGTAAAGGATATGGGATATTGGTTGGTGAGCATTTTCATCAGTAGGCCTTCATGCCAAACCGTATCGAAGGCCTTTGCGACGTCCAGGAAGACAGCACCAGTGTACTGTCCCCTGTTGAAGGCCGCCGTGATGTGCTCGGTAAGGCGAAGGATTTGGAGTTCAGTGGAGTGATTGGGTCGGAAGGCGAACTGCTCGTCTGGAATGACTTGCAGTTCTTGGGAGTGGGTTCTTAGACGGGTTAGGATAATTTTTTCTACCACTTTGCTCATAGCCGGGAGCAGGCTAATGGGCCGGTAGTTGGATGGGATGGTGTGATCTTTGTTGGGTTTTGGGATAAGGATTATGTTTGCTGTTTTCCAGCGGGTAGGGAAGTGTCTTAGTCTGAGTGTCGCGTTTGTTATGTTTAGTAGGGCCATGAGGCCCTTGTGTGGTAGTCGTTTAAGTGTCGTGTTATGTATATTGTCGGGTCCGGGGGCTTTTCTGTTTTTAAGTCTGCGTATTGTCAGTCTTATTTCGTCAGGAGTTGCGGGGGGGATTATGTCATTGTCTGGCTCTCGAACAACGCGTTCAAATTATTAAATATTATTCTACGAAAATGGTGGCTGCATTTCGCGTACTATTACGCGGAGATTATGATCGACATAATCGTCCATCCCAGCCTACAATCACCAATACGGTGAGGAAATTCGAAGAGACTATCAGTAATAGGCATCGTAAGACGTGGTAGAAAAAATTATTAATCGTCCATCCCAGCCTACAATCACCAATACGGTGAGGAAATTCGAAGAGACTATCAGTAATAGGCATCGTAAGACGTGTGCATCATCGTTTTGCCCGTTCAACAGAAAACATTCCGCGGCGAGCTCAGCATTTGGGTCTGTTATACGGCACATTGTGGCGCATTTTGCATTTGGACCTCCATCCGTATACTCCAACTCAAGCTGATCTTAGATTGCGATGTGAGTACACCAATTTGGTGCTGGAACAACAGGCCAACGATCCTGATTTTTCGAACGAAATCTTCTTCAGTCATGAGGCCCATTTCACGCTCGGCGGGTATGTTAATAAACAATATTGCCGAATCTGGGGTAGTGAGCAGCCGCTGAGAGACCATTGTACCCGCAAAAAGTAACTGTTTGGTGTACATTGTGGGTCGGTGGCATCATCGGTCCGTACTTCTTCGAGAATGACGAAGGAGCCTCCGTTACCATCAAGTCCCAGCAGTATGCCGCCATGATCAATGATTTTTTTGGCCTGAAATTGAAGATTTTGATCTGGATAAGATGAGGTTTCAACAAGACGGGGCCATGCCACACAACGCGGCCAGTTATGGCTATATTGTGCGAAAAATTCCCAGGACGCGTAATTTCGAGATTCGGCGATGTAGCTTGACCACCAAAATCTTACAATTTACGCCTTCGGATTGCTTTTTGTGGGGCTATCCGAAAGACTGGGTTTATGCGAACAATCCCATAACTTTAAAGCAATTGAAGGACAAGATACGTCAAGTTATGGCCGAGTAATTGCTCGAATTGTGTGAAAAGGTCTTCGAAAATTACCTCAAAAGGATTGCAAACGGTTTCGTGAAGGATATTAGAATAATAGGGAGATTTTATGACACTTATTAACAACGTTAAACGTTATCCATTATACTGAGCATGCGCAGTAGTTCGAAAATAACCGCCGCCATTATTCCATGGCTGGAAATTG